AAATTCCTGGACACACAGATTTCACCAGACCTTACATGGACTCAGGGCAGCAGCCAACTGGAGGACCAACTTCTCATCGCAGCCACTTCTGTCATTGATCCAATGAAAGTGTTTCGACAAATGGCGTCCAGATGTGGTTTAGGAACAGCTCAGCAGCAAAATATTACRATGCTCTCACATTTCTAAACTACAGAACGGTTGAAAGCTTTTTATCCCAGGAAAAGAAACCTTTTATAACTTTTCTTCAGAAAAGATACGGATCCGATAAAACAAGCAGTAAAGCCTCGGGGAACACATTTCTTCTAAAAAGAGTTAAAATCTGAGATTAGACAGTCACTTTAAGCGAAAACGGAAACCTGATTAAAGATTGCTGAYGTTCATCAATTTGATTTATGCCTCAAACAATTCAAGCTGTTTCACAGCTGAGATAATCAAACTCCTGTTTTAGTTGTTTATTTTATGAGTCCATATTTCTTATTTGTTCCTATCGTTGAAAGAAGGTACCAGTGCATTACTTAAAAAAAAAGGATATCTAAGGTTAATGTTTTGTCACATGCTTTGGTTTGTACAAATAAAACAGTTGAATGAACATCTTTATTTGTATATTTTCTACTAAGACAGCCACTCTTTTTCACCCCACAGCTCCAAGTCCCGTTACATCTATTTTTATATTTGTTCATGACCTCCGCCTTCCTCATCCGCTCTGTGTTTTGCCTTCAGCATTTATTTTTATGTCAAGCCTCTGGCTTTCATTAAATTTTTTTTTTATCCTGCTCTGGTTAGTGTGAGATGTTGTCTTTAAAAAAAAAAAACTATGTGCTGACGCTGTACAGAAGACCTGCTGACGGAGCTTCCGGCGTGCAAGCTCAACTAGATTTTACAGCTCATTTCCCACAGCTCCATTCATTGTTATTAAGTTCCAGCCTCTGTGTGATTCTGCCRGCACTTCAGTATCTCCCATGATTTCCCCGAATGATCTCACTCCGTCATCTGACTGCTTCATGTGACCACCGGTCTTGTGAGGGGCACGGTGTTTGTAAGGCAGTGTTCATTAAAGCGCAGGCAGTCTGTTGGAGGAAGGTTTTTTAATAAATAAGAGCCRTCTCTGTTGTGCATTTATTTAAGTCAGAAACAGCTGTTCCGTCGCTGCTCAGATAGCYTTGGCTCATTCGCTGCACTGTGATTATTAATGACATATTTCTGGTCTCCATTACCACAATAACAAGCGGTTCATTAGTGACAGATGTTGCCTGAATGCTGATAGCRTCTGAAACTTGCAGTAAATGAAAACTGATAAATGGATGAAGCATTTTTAAGGTTTTGTGGCGACAGACACAGAGATGATGTTTATTGCTGCTGAAGGCAATGGGGCAACAAGGGTTTTGTTCTTGTCTGGGTACGTTTGTCTTGTTAGCAAAATACCTATATCTCATGAACCACTGGATGGATTTTAATGAAACACTCAAAAATGAATTATTAAACATCTACAACTGATTAATGTTTGAAGTCTGCCTAATTCAAGATGGCTGTCACAGTAAACTGATGTTAGCTAACAGCTAATTTTACAGATACTGAACTAAAATACGATGTAGGGGTGGGTAATAATTACATTTACTTGAGTAACTTAAAAAATACTTTTAGGAGTAGATTTACTSTGTTGTATAAAGTACCACAAAATGATATTTGAGTAAAAGTACAAGTATCTTACCAAAAAATTACTTTGGTAAAAGTTAAAGTCTCCTTTAGGAATATTACCTGAGTAAAAGTCTTAAAGTATCTGACAATTTTTGTACTTATTAAAAGTAAAAGTATTGATTTAAAATGAGCAGTTAGATTTTACATAATGACATTTATTAGAAGGTGACCTCCACCCCAAAAAATGCATAAATGACTGTTGTATTAAAATAATTAATTTATGTTAAATTTAGGCTGCACTAGTCTAGCTGTTTCAGTTTATTTATATATATCAAGGCTGCACAAACCTTTTCTCCAAAATGAAAATCTATCCGAGGGCTGCAGCCAAATGTAATAATATAATTCATGAAATACAAATACTTCTTAAGTACAGTCCTTTTATTTTAATAATTATGTCCTGATTATGTATGACGTGATTTGTTAATATGGTATAAGAATTTTATATATTTATACTTCTCATTCAACCACAATTAATTTATATGGATAGTATTAATTTTTTACAATAACAAGCTGGAATTAAAACAAGCAAAAATGAAATAAAAGTAACGATTTTCTACTTTTTGACTTTTTTTAAAAAATGTAAGGAGTAGAAAGTACAGATAATTGTGTGAAAATGTGAAGTAGAAGTAAAAAGTAGGCTGAAAAATAATTTCTTAAGTACAGATACTCAAAAATTCTATACTTAAGTACAGTAACAAAGTATTTGTACTTAGTTATTTTACAACTCTGGATTTACTACATCTTAGTTTTTTAAATTTACTTGAGTATATAGTAATAATAATATTTTAAAGACTCACTACTCTTACTTGGGTAAAGTTTCTGAATACTCTGTAAAGTCAATAACTTCACTGAATGAAGAACAAACATGTTTGAACCAGAAATGTACYAGAGATACAACTGTAGTTTATGTTGAAGTGAGACCTCTTGTTTGTATTGTTTCAATGATATTTTCTATCTGCTGAGACATTTGAAAGTCAAGGGAATAAATGGTAAACAGTAGTTATACTCACTGGAAGTACTTTACCCTATAATTTATGGATAAGATGGATAAGTTCCAGAATGTGAAAAATTTAACATGTAAAAGTGTTTCTTCTGCTGAAATTTGTTATTTTCTAATTATGTTATTTATTTGTACTAACATTCTTCATTTAGTCCTTATAAACACAATAATTTGCACATAGTTTTGACATAGCTTTACTCAAATAGTTTTTTTTACAAAATACTTTTTTACTCTACCTGAGTAATGTCTTGGACAGCTATTTTTTTTGTTTTACTTCAGTAAAAATATGCTGAAGTAGTGCTTCTCTTACTCTTCTCTTACTACAACTCTTGGGAACTCTTCCCATCTCTGTGTGGTAGTAGCTGAGAGTGCTAACAGATCGTGCCAACTCTCACAATCACACAGAATTCTGCATAGTTATGTTTTTAGGTTTGACCAAAATAGCTATACCTCAGTCAGTCTTAATGATCATAGTTTAAAATTCTGTCATAAAAGTCATTTCATTAAGAAATCCTAGGTCTTTAGAAATTTTAATGTTTTTGTTTGCTCATTTTATCCCATCAGTGTTTAGCTATTTTTTGTTTGAATTAACGGTTTTATCCAGAGCTGGGTCATTTTCAGCTGCCTCGCCCTTTCAGGAAATGACAAAACCAGTCTGAGCTCTGCAGCATCTTAATAAAAGACACGCATATTTGTCCCTTACCTTTGATTTGTCATGCATTCTTGTGAATATAAAAGTTTTGCAGTCGATGCCAAAGGGAGGTATTCACTCCCACATAAAAGAACCATACAGCTTGAAATGCTGTTTTGTAGTCCAGGCTTTTCTTCTTGTTACTTATCTAGATCACCATGTAATGGATTTGCATAATGGTGGCTCCGCTGCTAATTTAGCATTAAACACTCCATTTTTGGGCCATTCTGCTGACCAATCAGAGCAAATGTAGTTGTGGAGGCAGGGACGGTGAGAGGCTGAGGACTCAACCTGAAGACAGCTGGTCAATCCATGAGCTGCAGCCATGTTCTGTGCTTAATATTATCACTTAGGTGTACATCGAGTATTTACACGGTGATCTACTTGTGTCATTGTTTCAAGTCTGTTTGTTCCTTTGTTATGAACTTAGGTGAAAGTTTTACTTTGGCTTATGTAACTTTTTCCATTTGTTTGCTGTTCACAGGTTCGATTACTGGCAGAAGCAATTCTGCTTCTAGTTTTGTGTGTTCTCACAGTGCATGTGCGTTTCATTTCTGGGTGTGTAGAAATGTTTGTCTTCTTTGTCTTTATGTGTCCCAATGATGGACTGACGATCTCTTCAGGGTGTAACACTCCTCTCACCCAATGACTGCTGGAGATCAGCAGCTCCACATGACTCTGAACACAAACAGGAGGGGAAACGGAGATGGATGGATTTTGTGTGATTGTGTGTGTGTGTGTGTGTGGGGGGGGTAGTTAAACTCTTCATGTGCCCTTTTAGACTTGCTGCTAAAATTAGGTTTTAAACAGAAGAAAATTAAATAAATAAAAAATAAAAATGTTTTGTTATTGTTTGCGTTTAAATTGAACCATGCGCTTCCATCGATGCAGACCCAAATAAMTGTAAATTAACTTTCATAGGATCAAATAGGAATATGATTTGCAAAAAAGGAAAATGCTCTCAGTCATCCAGGACACCATATACTGCAAATTGAATCAAAGGCTTCTGGACTTCTTTGCTTCTTGAAGATGCTTTGCTTCTTATCCATGGAGCTTTCTGAATCTAATTCAGCAGTGGCTTGACTTTAATCAAGTTTGTTGGGATTGTTAAAGAAAAACAGACCTTTTGGTTTATTTTGCTTCGTTGCTCTCCCAAGGATGATTAGAAATTCTGTTGCATCTGAAATGACCTACATGTTAATTGAAATTCTGACTGAATTTTCTTTAAATATATAAAGTAATTATGAATCTCAGTCATATTTTCATTTTGAATTGTATTAATTAATGTTGATAAAGGCAAAGCTGGGGTCTCTTACCTACAGTATGAGTGGAGTTGAGATATATTTATAACAGCAGCTAAGTATCTCTCTCTGAATCAGTGTCGTTTAAGCTAATTTAAAAAATTGAAGCAATAACATACTTTGTAGCTATTTAAGTATAGTCACTTTGTTTTAAAAATTGTTACATAATTGATTGTCATCATTATTGGACCACAATAAATGACTGGAGAATGAAACAGTAAAACAACAACAAYAAAACAACAGTAACTTTGAAATACAGTCAACTCATTGTCTTGCAAACTTGAATTCTGGACAAAAACACTCTTGAAAACCATTTTAATCCCCAGTCTTTAGTATTTCAGGTTTTATTTCTGTTTCATTTTTCACACCATATCTTTTGTTTCCACTGTCCTCCCCATGGAGACTCAYGAATCCTCTGAAACTTGTACCAGAAAGTGTGTCGAGAAACACAAACAACTGTCAAAACAGAAATGTATAAGCCATTTTTAAACATGTGTAAAACAACGATTTACAAACTAAAACAAAACCAGACGCCCAAAAAATTAAAAAAAAAAAAAAAAGTAAAATAGCACCAAGTTGAGACAAACTTTACAGTATTTTTGTTAAAAAGACCAGACTGGTGTCCAAGATATCGAGAGTGCTTGTAAGCAAAAACTCGTAGCAGCATTTTGTTTATTTATTATTTCTCCAAAAACAAATATTTTTACAACATACCAATGCAGTCACTTCATATAAGTTAAAAAAAGTTTAAATGACTAAACATTTATTATAAGAGAAAAAAATGCCCTTACAGAATAAATCACAAGGGAAATATTGTCAGACTATACAACTCTTATTCTGCCACATCAGGAGGCACTGGGGCAAAGGCCGYGTGAGAGATGACATTTACCAGTTCATTTGTAACCGTGCAGATATGATTTGGAGAGAGAGGGCAGAAGCAGAGAAAGACACTCGAGACTAATTAAAAGCACACACACGGTGAGTCTGTCCTTCAAAAAAACTGCAGCTTGGTTGCTACTGGTCTCCTTTTTGGTCGGTGGTGTCTTTGGATGCGCAGTCTTTGATCTCCCCTTTCAGCTCGGCGAGCCGCTCCGAGTGGACGGCCAGAGTGCCGTTCACCTGGGCCAGGTATTCGTCCGAGTGTCTCTCCAGCTCTGCCCTGATGCGCTCCAGGTGCTCGACCAGCTCCCCCAGACTGCTGCACTGGTCCTCCACCTGGCTCACCCTGCTGCCAACGTCCTTCATCTCTTTGTGCACCTCCATGGCCGTGCTGCGGCAGCCGTGCAGCCCGCCCAACAGCTGTCTCTTCAAGGATGCCAGCTCTCCCTTCAGCTGCGCCAGCCGCCTCTCGCCCGCRCCGAGCAGGGAGGCCTGGTGGCCGACCAGCTTGGTGATCCCTTGCACCTGGTTGACGAGCTGATGCTCCCTCTCCTCCCACGACGAGTTGGCGTGGCTCACTTCAGTGGAAATGAAACTGATGGAGTCCCTCAGGCCCTTCAGTGTTCGGTTCACAGAGTTGATGTTGACCTTTAGCAGGGTGATCTCTCCCTGGACGGAGCCCTCCGAGGCCTCCTGTGCAATCCGGACCAGCAAGTTGTGCAGGGTGTTGTTGATATGGTCCAGCTGGTTCGAATGGGAGTCCAGACGGTCTATCATCTTCTTTTCCATCCCCTCACACTCCTCGTCCACCCCGGTGCCTCCCACGCCCCGTTCAGGAGGGGTAGAGGGTGCACAYGAGGAGGTGCAGAGGAGCTCCAGATCCATCAGCTGCTTTTGAATTCCACTCAGGTCTCCCTCCACCCTCCTCCTAACAGACTCAATCTCTGTCTCCAGTGCAGGGACCACCTGACCCTCCAGAAGAGCTGGAACGGTGGCATTGCTTAGTTCCTCCACAGCCACAAACACTCTGTCCTCTAGCGTCTTCAGCTTGTCCTCCAGCAGGATTTTGAAGCCATCCAGAGCACCAGGAAGCCCTTCAGCTCCATCWGGTCCAACACTGGTGGCATTGAGTCTGTCCTCGATGTCCAGCAGGCGGGTCTCAATCATCGTATCTATCTGAACACCTTGTTCGACGATGGCTCYCTGAAGCTGCCTCTGAGATTCTGTCAAATCCTTTACTGATTCTTCCAGCAGCAGCACGCGCTGAGACAGGCTGTTCACCTGKAATTATCAACAATTGAATCTGTTAGTCACTCACTGGACCATCCAGTCATATGCTATTATGTAGTTTCGGAGCATGAACCTAATGGAAGRGGTTTTAAAGTTTGGTATTTTTAGAAAAATACTTCTGTTTTCTGTAYGAAGCTGAGATGAGAAGATCCGTTTATTCACTCTAAAAATGAAATGTTGGATTTACTTAACCGTGTTATGTGACCTGGTTCCACTTAACTGAGTTGAGTAAATTCAAAGCAACATGCTCGTGTTCTTTGGCTAAAAAACTGGTATATTGCTTTGAATTTACTCAACTCAGTTAAGTGGAACCAGGTCACATACAGTAACATGGTTAAGTAAATYCAACGTTTCAYTTTTTACAGTGTTGTTTACTCGTGTTTTGCCAAATTTAATTGTCTAAGAAGCATAATTAGGAGGGTGTACATGCTTTATATTAATTTACTTTCTATTTTTGACAGTTTRTAGATTGATTGTTCATCAGTTAAATTCATCAGCACTTAGCTTCATTTCCCGCTTTATGATTAGCAACACAGACGGATCTTCCTCTTAATGTTTTGACAGATTACTTAATAAACTTGATTGGCAACATTCATGTATTTTGAGGCATGCTTGTCACAGGGAAATGACTCGTACCTGTCCACAGCAGCTCTCAGTCAGAGTCAAACCCTGAATCTGAGCCTGCAACGAGCCCAGCTCCTCCCTGAGCCCAGTTTCTCTGCCATCCAGAGACTGCTGCATCTGCTCCTGGCCATCCATGTGCTCCCTGTGGCACTGCTTCTTCACCTCCCCGATCTTCTCATCRCATTGGCTCTCCAGGCCAGTCAGACGTTGCTCAAAGCCATCCAGGATCGCAGCCCTCACCTCAGCCAGCTTGGTATCCAAGATCTCATCCACAAAAGAGGTGGAGTCCGAACCTTGGATGTATTTGCCTCCGACTCCATCCAACAGCGTCTTCAGCTGGCCATCATGACCCAAGACCATTCCCTAATGAGACACATGAAGACGGTGATACATTTCAAGTAGCATTTGATAAAAATATAACAGGACTGTTTTTATTTTTCAGAGTACCTGGATTTCCTCCAAAATGTGAGTTTTGGCTCGCAACTCATCCCTCACTTCTGTCACCCTCCCTGCTAAGTCTCCAAATCCAGGAAAAGTCTGTCCTCCTTCCAGACCATCAGGACTCCCATCTGGGATCACACCAAAGCCCACGGTGGAGTCGTGCACCCGTGGGGCGTTGGGCAGCAACGACACCAGCAGTTTGTTGGTGTCCTCCCGCAGAGATGTGCGCAGTCGCTCCTCGAGTCCAGCCACCACTCCATTGAGGGTGTCCAGACCCTGAGTTAGGCGGCGCATGTTCTCCTCCATGCGGTCCAAACGTTCACCAGTCACTCCTGGTAATTTGGCACCTGGAATTTTAAGAAAACACAGTTAGTTGGCCTGCTTGTACTTCAAAACTTAACAATGAAAAATATGTAGATCTCACCATAGTTGGGTTTGCCTGGCTCCAGCTGGCCTCCTCCAGGCTTCTGGTCCACAGAAGGTTTTGGAACTTGGGGGAAGCCTTTCACACCTGGACGATGGGGGAGGCTCGCCCCTRTAGTGTCAGGCAGTGTTGTAGGTCCACCATGGCATGATTCTCCAGAGAAACCAGGGCAACACCTCCACTCGAGCTCTGTCACTGTCTTGAAACCCACCTTGTACTTTGGCTTAAAGAAAGTCCTGTACCTGAAAGAAAGAACATTAAAATGTCAGAGAACCAACAAGCATGTAGAGGTTTTCACTATCTTAAGTACTTTATCATTATCTTTATTATCATTAATATTGTTATTACCAATTCTGCCAATGGCACAAAGGGATAGGAWGATAATGCAAAAAAAAGTGGATGAAGTTGTTTTTCATGGGATTAAACACTGATTGGAGGAAGATTAGGAGATTAAGATAAAGGATGGTGTAAATGGCGTGGCATCAGAGGATTGGATACGGGTCAGTATTCCCAACTTTAGTATTATCTTATTTTAAATCTCAGAATACACACACAGAGACTTAACTTTTATATTTGAAGATAAAATCCACTTTAATTTCCCTCTGTGTGTGGGCTTTTCAAATGCATATTACACAGATGAGAAAGAACACGAAACAGTCAAATCTAACTGCTACTTAAGAAATTCACTCAGTCTCTACTGTAAACTGACAGATGAACTGAATATGATCTAAAGAGAGAAACAATCACTTCTTCTGTACATTAAAAAAATGCAAAAAAATGTATCCTTTATAATAACAATGTCAGCTCACATGTGGTCCTTTGTACCTTTCATTTGCTCTCCTACTTTTGTGATTTTATATAATAAACATGCAACACCTTTCTTTGATATTCATTCTATAAAGTCACAAACAGGAGAGCAGGTAAAAACAAAAAGGACCATGTTACAGCTGAAATTTCAGCTTTTTTAATGTAAAAAAGTAATTGTTACTCACTTTAGATTATATTTAGTTAAGAAAACATATTTATTTTTTCTTTCAGTGGCGTCTTTTTATAGACCTGTGAGGAAAACCACAACCTCCAGTATAAAAACAGTTTATCATCTCATCACTAGAGGGCAGCACGAACACACAGTTGGCTCTGGCATCCAGTTTAGTGTAAGTGAAGACATCAACACACAAATTATTTTAAATGCCACAATGAATCTCTGTGTTTTTTTAAACTGTGTTCACTTGTATGGCAATAAAACGATTTTGCAGCCTTTACATGATGCCACTCCGATGGACTGACTCACATGACAACGGGACATTTCTGACCCCAGATGCACTTGGTGGTGTATTCGGCATTCACATAGGTTTCCACTCCTTCCTGCATGATGCATGTGACGTTCTTCTGGACCATGTAGGCACAGTGGTTTCTGTGGGAATAAAATAGGGTTTGTGTTGAAGATGTACAGGTTTTACCTGATTCAGCATTTCACTCTGTGCCTGACAAACTCATCAAAGTTAATGATGAAGAACTTCTAACAATAACAAGTGAAACGTCGGTGGTTTTTATGACTTATTGCATGTTTTGCTGTGATTTTATTTGCCTGCTTTCATTTATTGTTTTGAAGAGTTGTTTTGCAATCAATGAATTTTTATTTCCCTCTTCAAAGTCCAACCTACACAAATCCCTGTTTCTTTCAACATCTCCACTTCACTCCCAAAAGATCATTTTTTTTATTAATTACCTTTTATTGAACCCATTGAGATCATTTTTTTCTTATGGACTAGAAGGCAATCTAACATGATTTTATTTATTTATTTATTTATTTATTTATTTATTTATTTATTTATTTATTTATTTATTTATTT